TATTTATTGCCATCGGGGCTGGGGCCGCCAGCATCAGCCACAGCGTTGTGCAATCTGGGTGTTCCCAAATTTGTAGTTCCTGGCCACAGGAGATGGCAGGCAGATATTCCCAGCTGAATCAGTCCCTTCTTGCTCACACTTCCCTGGAGACCTCGGCTCTTGCAGGATAGGGCTCAGCCAGGGAAAATCACCCTGATATCCCTTTTGGCACCAGAATTAATCCCTTTTGTAAACATGGAAGGGCTTTTCTGGAAGATACGTAGGTAGTTAAATTTGCTTGTCCCTGTGGGAGAGGGTGCCCTGTGCACAGTGCCCTCATACACAGACCCCATGGGAGGCAATGCTATATGCATGGTGCTTGGAAGCTAGGCAGGGGACAGCTCCATGGCAGAGCCCTATCTGAGCCCTCCCAAGGTGTTCCTAAAGGTACAAGGCTGTACTGAGGATGTGCAGGTGGCCAGGGGTCCTCAGGCGGCGTGGCTTTTGCATGGGCACATGGCACAGACACCTCCTCTAAAATATCCGTCCAACCTGTGAACCTGCTGATGCTGCAGGAGACAGAGGTGGAACCTGTGTCCAGGGCACGAGGGACCTCTCTGGCCCCTGCCCAGCACAGAGGATGAGCATCTGCTTTGAGAATTCTCCATAGACACGTCTGACCTGGGCTTGAATACAGCCGAAGGACCACTGTCCTCCTTCCTGGGGAGCAGGATCTGCATTGCTCGTGTACAAATTTCACTTTATTTGTACTTAAAAAAACTCGAGTAGCTGCATTCAGCTCTGCCCCACCTCATCCTGGGCAGGACCTGCCTGGACAAGAGCGAGAGGTGGGGACTAAGAGGTGCCACCAGCCACGCAGATCTGGCGTTGGGTGTAGAGGAGCACTGGGGACACCACAGAAAGTCGGTGGACCATCAGGGACACCACAAAGAGGGGTAGGGATGTATGAAGTCACCACAGGGAGGGCAGGAGATCTTTGGGGACAGCACCGTGGAGCTCTGGGGACACAAGAAGGGAGGTGGGGAAGGAGAAGCACCTGAAAAGCTCCAGTTGATGGTGAAGCCAAAGGTGGCCTGGCTGTTCCCGTTCGTGCGGTGCTGGGAAGGGTTGACCCTTTGATCTCGTTGCGGGTGGCTGTCACAGCCGTGTGGTAGGAGCCCAGGAATTCACCTTTCCCGTTCACAGCCATGATGGTCATGTTGGAGCCCAGGTTGTTGATCCAGTGCCTGGTCAGCATGCACTGTGGTGCAAGGGGCTCATCACCGGTGCTGCAGCGCAGGCAGGGTGCAGGCAGGTGTCCCCAGGATAAATCCCCACAGGGAAGAGGGCACTGAGAAACCTGGTTAATATTCAATGATCACCTCCTCCAAGCTCAGGAGCGATTGTCCCAGCAAAAGGGAAGTCAGGCAAAAACTCCAGGAGGCCTGTGTGGCTGAACGAGGAGCTCCTGGACAAACTCCCAATGCCAAAAGGAAGCCTGCAGGGAGTGGAAGCAAGGACAGATATCCTGGGAGGAACACAGAGAAACCGTCTGAGCTACCAAGGATGAGGTTGGGAAAACTGATGTCCCGACAGTTAAATCTGGCCATGGACATCAAGGGCAGCAAGAAAAGTGTCTGTGGGTATGTCGGTGATAAAAGGAAGACTAGGGAAAATGTGGGTCCCCTCTGGACGGAAACGGGAGACCTGGTTATCCAGGACATGGAGAAGGCTGAGGTACTCAATGACTTGTTTGCCTCAGTCTCTTCACTGGCAAGAGCTCCAGTCAGACCACCCCAGTCACAGAAGGTAAAGGCAGGGACTGGGAGAATGAAGAACCTCCTGCTGTTGGAGAAGACCAGGTTTGAGACCCTCTAAGGGAGCTGAAGGTGCACAAGTCCATGTGACCTGGTAAGATGCATCCACAGGCCTGAGGGAACTGGTGGGTGAAGTGGCCAAGCTGCTCTCCA